TTTCATATTTATGCTAAAGAAAATGTGAAAATCCTCGGGGAGGGTCAAAAATCACGTGCTTACGGGGTCGTGACAGGAAAGCAACTATGGAAGCAGAAATTGCAGCATTACAATTAAACCACACTTGGGATGTGGTAGATTTACCTACAAGGAAGAAAGCCTTACCCTGTAAGTGNGCTCTACCTTGTAAGTGGGTATACAAGGTAAAGCACCATTCAGATGGAACTGTGGAGAGATTAAAGGCTAGACTAGTAGTAAAGGGGGACATTCAAAGGGAAGGAATTGATTATTTTGAAACTTTTTCACCTGTGGTAAAGATGACAACCATAAGGTGTCTTTTGATTGTGGTTGTGAAGAAAGGTTGGGGAGTGTCACAACTTGATGTGAATAATGCATTCCTCCATAGAGAATTGCAAGAAGAAGTTTATATGAAATTTCCAGCGGGTGTTTTTTCACCTAAACCAAATCAAGTCTGTTTACTGAAGAAATCTCTATATGGGCTAAAACAGGCATCCAGGCAATGGTATGCCAGACTTGCAGGTACTTTGAGTTTTAAAGGCTATTCTAGTTCCCTCAATGACTATTCTCTGTTCTATAAAGTGAATGGAGATCTTGTTTCTATCATAGCAGTATATGTGGATGATATCCTACTCACAGAGATGATGCAACAGAGATACAACATATTACTGACTTTCTTCATTCAGAATTTAAGGTGAAACGCTTAGGCAATATTCACTATTTTCTAGGCATGGAAATACTCAGAGAAAAATAGGGGTTCATCATCAGCCAAAGGAAATTTACCTTAGAATTACTATAAGAGTTCAATTGTACAGGAACTCGGATTTCTTCACCAGTGGACCCTTCCACTAAGCTTCAGGCAGATTTGGGACCTCATTTGGATGACCCAAGCCTTTATCGCCATTTAGTTGGTAAACTCAACTATCCGACGAACACCCGACCCGATCTCTCTTTTGTTGTTCTATCTCTAGTTCAATACATACAAAGACCTTGTCTTTCTCATCTTTATGCTGCTCAACGAGTATTAAGATATCTTCGCACAGATCCCTCACAAGGCATTCTATTATCTTTACACCTTTCTTTTGATTTAATGGCCTTTTGCGATGCTGATTGGGCATCATGTCGTGATTCTAGACGATCAGTGAGTGGGTTCTTCATTACCCTTGGCGGTGCACCTATTTCTTGGAAATCCAAGAAACAAGCTTCCATTCTTTGTCATCTGCCAAAGCTGAATATCGTTCAATGCGTCGAGTCACGACAGAAATTACTTGGCATGTTCGCCTTTTGGCAGATCTAACAGTACACCCTACTTTGCCCATGCCTCTTCACTCTGATAGTCAAGCCGCGATTCATATAGCTCGGAACCCCGTCTTTCATGAACAAACCAAATATGTGGAACTGAATTTCCACTTTGTTCGTCAACAATTTCTCTCTGGTTTGATATCTCTCTCTTTTGTTCCATCGGAATCTCAGCTCGCCGATTTATTTACCAAACCCTTATCCGGAGGTTCTCATCGGAGTATTTTGTGCAAGCTGGGGGTCCATTCTCTCCCCTCCACCTTGAGGGGGCATGTTGAAGAACAGAACCCCGTGACAATTTAATGGACGAAGAAGATACAAGGGAGAAGAAGAAGACAGAAGTAGAAGATGCAGCGAAGAAGAAAAACATAAAGTTTCAGAGTTTCCAAAGGAAGTTTTGGACTTATGTCTGAAGCTTTTGGTTATGTGACGTGTCAACATAATAGCCTTTGATATTATAATCCTAAGATCTAATGGTGACCACTGGATTAGGAGGAGAAGGGAAATCTGAGCCATCCATGTGATACAACTGACAAAAGATTTGGAAGCTTCTACACGTGAGTGAGCACATGCCCACATTTTAAAGAATAATTCTCTGTTAAGTTAGTTATACAATTTGCCACTAGAAGATATGACAAGTGTATAGAAATATTTTATTTACATTCTTTGTATCTATCTATAGGATAGGGCTGCATATAAAGAACAGAGTACTATGAATAAAATTACAAGAGAAAATTTTCATAAATCTCAATCTTTCTTTCAATGTCTCTCATAATAATTATTTTAAATTATACAAATAATAGTACTATTTGTAAAATAAATCTTACATGTCATTTCTTGTAATTTGCAGTAAAATCGTCTTTTGAAGAGATTGGTCAAACAAAAATTATTTGTTAACAAAAGCACTTCTCATATGATTTGGCTAAACACAAGATGCTATTAAACTATTTTTTTGAATCTTTATTTTACAGAACACTTTCCAAATTAAGTGAATTTTGAAAATTTCGCCAAATACATCTGAACGTCACTTCCCTTTCCTCAAAAAGTTGGTCAATTATCCTAACTCACTAAATAATTTTTTAAGAACATCAATTTTTTCAAAAGAAATTAGCCAAACAAGTTACTCCAATAAGGCTATATAAGTAATGAGTAATGACTACCTTGAATATGGTTAAAAGAAGCGTTACAAAAAGAGTAAAATCACTCTTTTTAGTAGTATATTTAACACTTTTCATTTGAAATCTTAAAAAGGAAATTAGCGCGGTTGAATTCTGTTGGGGCGCGGGCGCGTTTTGTTTTTGCTATAAAAATACAAATATACTAAACAGTTGTAAAATTGATACATTTTGCACTGTTTGGGTACCAGCCGGGGGAGTGGGTGGGAGGGAAAACCACCCAAATTTTACCAAACTTCGAATTTTAAAACAGCCCCCAAAATCCAAACAAACATATTGGCGGCTTATAAACCCAATAAACCTCTCATTTCTTTCCTCTCCAGTTCGTCAAATCTTCAATTCAACTAATTTTCTCTTGCTTTTCTTTGTTAGTTCTTGCAACTACATATGAAGAAGCAAGAGAAAGAGGCAATAATGGCGGATTTAGAAAATTGTGGCAGAGTTACACGGCTAGCCAAGAAAAGGGCAGCAGAGGCTATGGCCTCACATCAACAACAACACCCTAGTAAGAAACGGGTGGTTTTGGGCGAGATTCAGAATTTTTCTAATCTGGGTGTGAGTCAAATTAAGGGTTTGAACACTGAGCCTAAAAAACAACCCAAATCGAAGCAGCAGCAATCTAAGAGGAAACTGAAAAGGGCTGTGACTAGTAAAATTGATAAGGAGGAGTTGAATGTGGATAATGTTGATGCTAATTACGATGACCCTCAGATGTGTAGTGCTTATGTTTCTGATATATATGATTATCTTCGTAAAATGGAGGTTAGTATATTTTTCTTTGAATTAAATTGAGCTCTTTTATTTACTTCATATTGTTATTATGTTTTTGCATTTGATTAATTATGTCTCATATAGCTGACTTGTTTCAGATCAGTAATGTAGTAGTAATTAGATAGTGAGGGTTTATATAGCAAAAATTATATTTTGGGATTAAGGCGTGGTTATTGTTGTTGTTTAGTGACTTAAAAGAAATTGATTTGGTTTCTTCTGCCTTAATTTGTAAAAATAGACATGCTTGAAAATAGGATCTTGGAGATTGAAATGTAGTTACTTTTATGAATTATTTGAATATTGGCTTTTCGATCGATCTAGAAGAATTAACCCAAATAGCTGTCTATCTAATATCTTAAACTTAAAATAGCCAGCACATGTATAATGTATATATAATTCATGTATAATATATGTGTAGTTGTGTATAATTAATGTTTAATCTATGTATATTGACTAGAAAAAGTAAATATTGAATTTGTCTGGCTGTAATGGTGCTCGGTGTTGTGTTTTGTTGAAATTTGGGTTTTGACAAATTTGGTGGTTTTGTGTTCAGATTGAGGAAAAGAGGAGACCTTTGCCTGATTACTTAGAGAAAGTTCAGAAGGATTTGAGCCCAAACATGAGAGGGGTATTAGTCGATTGGCTAGTGGAAGTTGCAGAGGAATACAAGCTACTTTCAGACACTTTATATCTTGCTGTTTCCTACATCGATAGATTCTTATCAACAAATGTCATCACCAGGCAAAAACTTCAGCTTTTGGGTGTTTCGTCAATGCTCATTTCTGCGTAAGTATCTTAGCTTTGCATTGGATTTAACTCCTGGAATTTTGAGTGTTTATGAATTTTGCTCACGAGTGTATTCTGATTTGGTAATTTACAGGAAGTATGAGGAGATTAGTCCACCACATGTTGAAGATTTTTGTTACATAACGGATAACACATATACTAAGGAAGAGGTGGTGAAAATGGAAGCTGATGTGCTTAAAACACTCAACTTTGAGATGGGAAATCCCACAGTGAAAACATTTCTCAGAAGATTTACTGGGGTTGCTCAAGAAGATTATAAAACCCCCAATTTGCAGTTGGAGTTTTTGGGCTATTACCTAGCGGAGTTAAGCATATTGGATTATAGCTGTGTGAAATACGTACCTTCTTTGCTGGCTGCTGCTGTGGTATTCCTTTCGAGGTTTACACTACAACCTAATACACATCCTTGGAGTTTGGCTCTTCAACAATACTCGGGATATAAAGCAGCGGATTTGAAGGAATGTATTCTTATCTTACACGACTTGCAATTAAGTAGAAGAGGAGGCTCTTTAGCGGCTGTGAGGGACAAATATAAGCAGCATAAGGTATTAATCTAAGATGGTCATTGGTTATAATATTGTAGATGCTTTGTTTAATTTGGTTATCTAACTTGACCTGTGAGTTACTTTTTACAGTTTAAGTGTGTGTCATCGTTGACCTCTCCAGTGGAAATACCAGCTTCATTCTTTGAAGATATGAGACAATTGTAAATTAGGCTTCTGCTTGGACATACAATAGGAAGGAGTAGACTGTGTTCTTGGTTTTGCTTAAACTGGATATCTGGCTAATTGTGCTTTAACGATGCTGCGGACATAGTGTTTGTTTTAGTAGATTTTGCAGTCCTCAGATGTATCTGGTGTTAGGATTACTAACTGGTAGTTAGTAAGATAAGTTTGATTAGATTTTGTAGGTCGGTTAGAAACAGAACCATTGAATTGATTGTGAAGTTATTGATTCCATTTACAAGTCTTGTATTCCAGGGATGATGTTTGGTAGTATTTGATACAGAGAAATCAATCATGTAAAAAGCCTGAATAGCTTCAGATAAAAGAACAGATTGCCCAATTAAATCATTGTGTTCATCTACATTAGTATGTGTACCCATCGCAACAACTACTCTTTTCAGGTTTGCCTTTTTTTAGAAGAAAAGAAACTATGTGCATCAGACAACTCTTGGATACTGTGTTATAATTGTATTTGGAAATAATCCAATGAGGATGATAAAGTTACTAAAATGGCGGAAGATTTCAGATTTCTTGTGATCTTACTTCTGCGATAGGTGTAAATTCTACATATTTGGGAGAATCTATATGTTTCAAACCACATAGCTCTTATAAATTTGATCCTTCATTTTGAAACTCCATACTGTTGATACCACTTTGACATTAGGAATCTTTATGATCTAATTTTTTTTATCCTATACTATGGAATTGCATGATATTAATCCTTCATTTTGAAAGTCATGAAGCTCTGTTCATTTCATGGATCTTTTTCATGAAATGAACTTGTTCGGAAAAGTCATACATACAGCTACAAAAGCAAACACATTGAATAAAAAATGAAAAATTCATAAGTTACTCCCTAAGCTTGTTCAGAAAACTCATTTATAAACTTTAATTTTACGGGCGACTTATTACTCACTATTCTTGTTTAAAGTGGAGCTAATACCACCTCCGAACATATTTAACCAGTTTCATGGCCTGCGGATGTTACATGCATCGACATCATTTTTTCTTGTTTTCTTCTATTTTTTCACATTTTTCTTTTTTACAAAATATTTTTTTTTGTTTAGTTGGGTTATTGTTTGAAAGTGTCTATAAAAAATATGCTCTAAACCGTCATGTGGTGTAAAATTCCTTTTGTGATTTTATTTTTGTTTAGAAAGCACAAATTTTTTATTATTAAAAAATGCCTATTTTTGAGTAAAAATAATTTAGAACTTTTTATTAAACTACTCAAATCTTCATATTAATAAATAACCTTTTTATAACAAGATCCAAGATAATATATTACAAACACATGCCAACTTGTAAATATGAACTAATCATTACCAATATAAATAATAATATTGGTATCAAATTTTGTTGTAACTTAAAGGCTTTATATCTTGTAGAAATATTTCACTATAAACAAAAAGTACGAAGAAAAAAGGCGACATTAACTTTTTTCATGCGTGTATATGTCTATGTCATTTATTAAAAATTGACATTAGGACATTAATTTATTGTGTTGCCCTTGTAACTGAGGGTCTCATATTCACTACCTTAACCTATGTTAAAATATAAGTTTAAAGAAAGTCAACAATTTGATAAATCAATCATAAACAAGACCAAGGCAACAAAGTATCTTAAAGATTCGAGACTCACCTTTGACAATATTTGTTGCTGACATTTTACTAGCTAGCCAATTGATAGTCCCATAATTTTGATAGATAAAATGCGGAATACAAGAGGTGTTAGTTGAAGCACTTCTTCGCCCCTTTCATGCAATTTTACGGTTACGACAAAGCAACCACCTATTTAAAATAATTTATGTGCTTATAGCCTTGTATTGATCAACCTCTTAACAAGCATTTTATCCAAAAATTGAACCACAGCGCGCAATTTCAATCTTCTTTAATTTTACCTCAATTGAGGATTTTGCTAGGGCAAATACCCTGATCCATCTTTCATCCTTTATTAATCCATCGATTGGAACATCTTCACTCTACTCTCCAATTCAAGCAACATCTCCAACTGAAGGTTCTGCTGGGTCAATACCCAAATCGTTGTTCATATCGACTTCCATCTTTCGTCCCCCATTGATCCATCAATGATTGTAACATCTTGCTCTTCCAAATGACAAAGCAACCACCTATTTAAAATAATTAATGAGCTTATACTGATCAACATATTAACAAGCATTTTATCCAAAAATTGAAACACAACGTGCAACTTCATATTCTTCTTTAATTTCAAATATCACCCCAAATCAGATACATGTTCTTGATCAACAATTGGGAGAGACAGAGTATCATTTTGGACGATTTCCTCAAGATTTTCGTCACATTGAAGATTCAAATCCTCAATTACTTACTACAAAAATTTGAATTCGAAAACCTCTAGTATTTTTTCCCTTCTTTTCGGCAGTGTTTTCGTGGATACCCCATTTATATATTGTACTAACAAAAACGGATTTTAGGTTAAACCATTGGATGTGATAGGAAAGTAAAATAAAATAACATATATTTATTTATTAATAAATGCACTAATCGGTCTGAGTAAAAAGAAAAAAAAAAGCTTCGTTTCATTTTCCTCTTTGTTTATTGATGTTCTTAAATTCTTTGTTTGTTTATTTTGACCTTTTAATTTAGTTTTAAACACAAATCCTACCAAACTACCAAGGCTGCCACTATAATTGTTCGGTTTTATGGATTTCATGGCATTCTGAAAGACCGAATTCATTTTTCGTTAAATTTTACTATTTTCAGCTCAATATTATTCCTATAAGAGTTTGTTTAGTCGAAATGATCCCTTATGTTCGAGTGTAGAGTTTTGATCTTTTATTGCCCTAAAAATACCATCCGGAGCACTTATCATTAGCTCTGCAAAATCTGAGGAATTAATCCCAGTACACACTACCACCACCAGTACACCAAAGGGAATTAAGATTGCGACAGAAATACTAAAACTTCACGTGCTTTAGTCAGCTGGATATAACTAAACAGCAAGAGCTATTAAAATAGGTATTACGTAGTCAATAGTAATGTGAACAATTCACAAGGCGTGATTGGGTGCTCATTGAAAATGTCAAATGTTGCAAATTGGAAGCCACCATTTAACAGCCAGTAGTGGACATGAGAGCTAAGACTTTGTTGCCCAAAATCTCTAAAGCCCCAATTGAGAAATATCGTGTCATGTGCCTATTCACCTTGTACACAAAGACGTAGCAAATATTAGACACGAAACTTACGTCCAAACCAACTGGAATGGCGAAACTAAGACTGCAATCTCCCTGCATTTTATCAATAAATCATACCTAGTTCCTTTTCAATTTCTGGCAAATAGTCGTAATTCATTGCCATGAATTCACATTATTGGGAAAATGGGGAACTTTCGTAGATTTATGCAATGGAACAAGACAATGCCTTATAATTTTTCCGCATTTTTATATTCCAAATTTTTTATCCTTCACAACGTGATCGCATAATATTGAAAGTTGTAACGCTCCGCTCATTTCATGGATTTTTTCAGGTTCCATATTAAAAGAAGTCGGGTACCCAACACATTTTATAAATTTCGACCCCCCTTGCGCTGTGAGAGGTGCTTTTTCAAGATACTGCCTCGTTTTCCTACTAAGTACCAAGAACACCACACAGTATATGAATATAAGAAAATAATTTTTTGGAATTTGACGAAACTTTTTCGTGTTTCTAGTTAAATTATTTTATTTCACATTTCTCGTTAAATCAACAGCTACATGTTGCAAAAATTGATGCTAGCAAACTTAAAAGATCCCACAAGTAGGTTCTAAGGTAATATGTACACAAAACTTACCCCTACCTTATGAAGGTAAAGAGAATATTTCTATAAACCCTCAGCTCAAAAGATCAAAACTATATTTAAGATACTATTTTAAACCTATTCTATTTTTATTTTTTCCATTCTCTGTTACTCAAATACCAAACCCAGTTTGTTGTACGAGTGTGTGCGCACTATTTTAGCCGTGTCTCATAGTCATAGAGTTTGCAATAGAGGACGGGAAGTAACAAAAAGAACATCAACCTGATACTAGGGGGACAATGAAATTAAACAACTCAATGTCAGCATTTGAGCAACAAATAAATCATAACAGTGCGGTCACTGCCACTGCAGCTTCCTCACTTCAACGCAGTGCAACAGTCAGTAATTACAGTTTCAGCTCTGCCAAAACCTAAACCTACGTCAGTGCCATAATACTTACCTGCACTATCTACAATGTACTCCAAATATGATTTGTTGAATATTCAGTTTGTCCTACAATTGTACATACGTCCAAGGAGAGTTCTGTCACAAATTAAGGTATTACTTGTTCCAAGTGCTTAAACGATCTCGACCATCTTCAACATTATCTTTGCCTGTTTGTTCCACAACATCTATATCCGAACATCAAAGACACAGACCACATTGTCCGCAAAACAAGCAGCAACCTTGTTGCCTTCCTTGTTCCAGCAAACTTCAAAGATTCCACCATTTCCACTGTAAGTTTTTATGATCTTGGCCTCTTTCACAGACCATATGTTCAAGCATCTATCCAATGACCCGGTTGCCAAGTACTCGCTGTTTGGACTAAATGCAACAGAATACACGGGATCCCTGGGTATACAATGGAAAAAGCCCCAATAAATACTAACAAAAATCCCAGTCACACATAACAAGAACAATAGAAATATTTAAAGATGTACTAACTATCTTTGCTTTTGACGATTCTAATAACTGCTTTTGTTAAAGCAGCAATGACTTCTTCTATGAGACCTTTTAGAAGGTTCAATCACCTCAACACCTTTTTTTCCAAAAAAGACATAAAAAGCAACTGCATAATTACAGCCATTACCTATGGCCATTCAGACTGTGAAGGAGACGGCCAAGTTCTACATCCCATAGCTTCACTGTGGAGTCAAAAGAGGCACTACAGAGGAAATTAAAAGTTCAGCAAAAAGAATAGGCACATAGAATTATAATAATTAGAAGATAAAAGAATAGGCACATCGAATCAAAAAGAATTATAAGATTTGAGTACAACAAAATAAGGTATTCATTGTCTGATGCCCGGATTATCCCCTTGGAGGTGAAGGATTATAGAACATCAAGCACACTTGACAAACGCAAGTTATTTCATAGACAATGTTAAAAATGTCACTAAATGAAGACATATTGATCTTAAATTACAGGGCAGCACTAGTAAAGAAAGAATAGGAACCAATAACAGAATTTCTAATGTGCGGAGATCATGTCTCTGGAGACATTGCAGCTCTATGAAATATAAGAAGTGTAGAGAGAATTACGGGGAAGCTATCTCTCAACTTCCCCCAACTTTTAAAAAATAAAAATAAAAATTAGTCGATCAATCAAGTATACTTCAATCCCAAACTAGTCAGGGTCGGCTATCTGATAATTGCCAGAAGATTCCGACCACTGGCACATTTCTTTCCAATACTAAATAATTGCCTTTTAAGGAGTGGAAAAATAAGAGTAGGATTGATCTTAATTCGAAGGCTATGTCGATGACGATAGGGTTGGTTCAACTGCTTGGATCGCTACCTTGCCATTTTCACCATTAAAGCATTGATAGAAATACAAGCGTCAAATGGTAAAGTGATAGTGTGATACGTTATATTTGCCATGGATGAGCAAAAACAACCTACGATAAGAGGAGGAATGACGCTTAAAGCAATAATTGTCACTTTGTTAGTTTCTCTAGATCACCAAAACTAAGTCCACATATAAAACTACCATCCCTTAGACCCACATCAGTTAGATATAGAGTCTGTTTGACTAAGCTTATAAGCTAGTCAAACTGGCTTATAAGCACCTTTTGGCTTATCTACGCGTTTGATAAACACCCAAAGTGCTTATAAACCAAGAGCTTATAAACTAAAATCAGCCATAAGTCATAAGTTGGTCACCCCCAACTTATGGGCTTTTCAGCTTATAAGCACTTTTAGTTTGACCAACATTTTTACTGGGTTATCCTTAATAATATTTTCTAATTCAGAAAATACTTTTCCCAAAATAAATTTCCCGACTTTCTCTTCATCCCATATTCGTTGTTAATTCTTTTATTTACAAAGAAATATTTTAATTTATAATCTTCTGAAAAAATTCAAGGGTATTTTAGTCATTTTAACATAGGAATAACTTATCAACACTTTTTTATCAAACACATCAACTGCTTATTATTAGTTTCAACACTTCTATCCAAACACATAAATGCTTATTTTAAAAATCAGCTCAGCGCTTAAAATGCTTTTCAGCATTTCAAACTTATCAGCTATTTACAATCAACTAATCCAAATGGGCTTATAATAATAGAACTAGATCTGGTAGAAAGAAGAGCCTTGAAGTTACCACCACGTGCCAGACCATTATGGTAGAAGCAGCAGGTCATCCAACGTATGACCTGTGGCAATATGTAGGATTGTAGCCTACTTCCGTACCCTCAATGTAATGGTGCAGAGTATTTACCTGGCCAGCAACAATTGTTGATTTGGGTTGCTCGTACCAGGGCCAGTTGGACTCCATCGGATGGTATAGATCTCCTAAAAGATTAATACTGTAAAAACACTGATCTCTGATCTGATTAAGCGAATAAAACAAAAACAGAAAAAGAGGAATAACTCAGTATATATGTATATAAACTTAAATGCTGCACCTTGGCATGTTCTTTGAAATCATGCACGCAGGCATCTTGTTTCACGCTCCATATCTGCACAACCAGATGAGAGTTATCGACCAATTTCACAGAGCATCAATTGAAGGTGATTTTTCGAAACAACATATTTGAAATACTATCTTAAAGGAAGTGAAGCTATAAATCAACTTTCACTTAGTCTCTTCCTTGATTACCAATTATTTCTAATTAATCAGAACCTGGAGTTCTGGAATGCGTTTGAACTAGATATTTTTTTGAACTAGCTTAGGATTACTGATTTAGTATTCCAGAATCTAGGTTGAAATGGATTTTTCTACATTAAAGCAGTTAAGCACCACACCTTCTTTCTTTTTTTCCATCAGAGGTTAAGGGTGTACGACAAAGTACGGACATGTGGGAAATTTAGAGTATCCCAAGTTTTACAGAATTAATTTGTCCTAAAAAACAAATTGAGTAGTGGAGAGAAACAGGCCCAAAATGGAGCAGCCAACTAGTCTTGGATTGAGGTGTAATTGTTGTTGTAAGAGGTTAAGGGTGATAATTAAAGCTTATTGATTATCAGAAAACAAATTTATCACGTTCTTTGCAAGACCTAGTTAAGCATGAATTTGTTTACAGATGCAAGACTTCACACAACTATTTGAATATGTTCTATCAATCAGGACCTCCCAAGAGAGAAATAACTGACAGGAGCAGAATTATCAGAAGGGAGAACAAGGAATAGTATGTATTTGTATCAGCTAATCTGTAATGACTAAATTCAGAGTTTAGGGAACTACACGAGGGTAATTAGTGCAGACAACACAACCAGACTGTCCTAATCAGTGCTTTTCTGAAACCTGTGGAGTTGCTATTAATTTAAGGAAAGAGTATGTTAGCAATTACCTTAGCCGTGGTGTCATCAGAGCACGATGCCAACAAGGAGCCTGAGGGGTCCCACTTGATTGCATTGACTTCACTCTGCAATCACAAAGATAAGATCTTTTAGTAATGCTCATAAAAAGAGGACACCATAATTTTACTTATTATTTATCATGCTAAAGTTTTGCATCTGAATGGGACTTATCACAAAATAGTTGGTATGATCTAGAACACAAAAGATTAGAACTACAACTTTCAACTTATAGGGTGAAATTCCAAAAAGATGAAAAAGAAACGACTGTCCGAACAATTGTCGTGCACAGTTGCATGATAATACAAATGCTTGAGAAATCATCATGCAGTCAAACCATTAGTTTTCATGGCCAGAGAAAGGGGTCAAAAGATTCTTTAGCCAATCATCTCACTACCATATGTTTACCTACAAGTTACAACCTCATAGGCATCGAGATACAATGAATACAAGTTGTATCTTAATAATCAGGTATTCAACCAAGGCAACAGAGGTAAATATGTTTTACGATATGTTCACAATTAGACTTTCCCTTTGACACATTTTAAGAGCATTTTATGATGTGATGAGCATAAGCCTCAAGAGAGTTAATATGTCCACCCCTGTGCCTCCCAGAGGTGCACAGTAGACCAGCTCCAATATAATATTTACAGGCAATTGGTAACCAATCAATAACCACATATGGAACAATTTTCCTACCAAAAAGGAAAAAAGAGTACTGGAGCATCACCTGATGTCCTGAGAAAGTTTTGACAGGCCGACTCTCTCCAACTTTACAAACGTAAATCATGTTATCAGTGGAGCAGGTTGCAAAGGAATTGTTGTTTCGCCAATCAACATCAAGAGTCGGAGCTGGAATATAGTTATATATCAATAATGAGAAATAAGAAACAGAAGAAATCAAAGTGAGTAATGGAAAAAAAGCTTAGGAGCATAGTTAAATCAGAACAAAGGAAAAGCACCTGAATGAAATTCAAACTGCTGCTTCCATTCGCCTGACTTTACATCCCACACAATGGCAGTTTTGTCTACACTACCACTAAGGAGATAATCACCTTTCTTATTCCACTTCAACGAGAAGATAGGCCCTTTATGTTTGATTAGAGTATTTACCAGTTCCCCTGGATATGAAGTGACTCGTGAGATCGATCATGAATACCAGCATATAAGTTTGGTGCCATAAGATACTATCATACTACAGATGCCGCAAACAATTAGCAAGGAAAGACCTAAACAGAAGTTAATTTTTTGACAAAAGAATCCAGTTTGATATCTTTTAACAAGTTCTGAATGGACGGAACCATGAGACACAAAGGAAAAAACAAGTCGAAATTGGACCACACACCATGATTATGCACCACTTACAACTTGTAGAAGAAAGAGATTTCTGCAAATGCTTTTTTAATCAGGTGGGCAAAGACTTAGATTAACATTTCGGATTAAGTTGCAGACCCCTTTGAAAGAGAATTAGCTTATTGTTCAGCAAACCAGTATGAATCTGCTATACTTGCCGGAGGAGATGGCCTTCGGCTCACACAGCATGACATATATTGAAGCCGTAACTATAATAATCTCATCAGTTATTGATCTTCCAGGAAACTCATTCATTTCTTCATTTTCTTCGGCCATTTTTGGGCTGCATATGAAGGACACTCAAAGATGTTGAGACAAGGAGGTCTACTGTTAAGAGTCTAGGCCAATTCATCAAAGGGTGTAGCCCAGAATAAGCATACACCCTTCACAGTTTTTTCTAGTAGGAGCAGTGTTGCCCAGATCCTTCGAATTCCTTGCCAGTTGCCACACCCATGTTGATCCAAAAGACTTGGGTGTGGGTGTGGGTGAGGATCCACACTGGAATTGATCGTCCTAATTTTTTGGCCAAAAGTGCTTTTTTTTTACCAAAAGTGCTTTTGAGCAGAAGCAGAAGCGGTTTTTTAGAAGCAGAAAAAAGTAACTTCTCCCCAAAAGCACTTTTGAGAAAAATACACTTAGAAAACTTTTTAAAAACTTGGCCAAATACTAATTGGTGCTCAAAAGTGTTTTTCAAATTAATTAGTCAAACACAAACAAACTGCTTCTCACCAAAAGTACTTTTTGAAAAACACTTTTCAAAATAAATTAATTTGAGAAGCTTGGCCAAACAGGCTATTAGATGCTTTGACTACATCTATGGCCAAGAAGTAAAGGTTGATTAGATATTTGCTTTAAAGATGGTTTATGGCACACACACACACATTGCTATATGAGGTAAACTTATGAATAAAATATTAAGTTTTACCAAGAATTTAATTATACTAGCTTTGATTTAATAACTTCAATAAAAATTTCAAAATATATACTTATATATGTTGCAATATATATTAATGGTTGTCTCTTAACGCTAGTACCCATACTTCTATTTGTATCTCTGAAATCCTATGATTTAGGTGATGACTAATCCGACTTCTAGATCCACACTCGTATCCGAGCACATACTGTAGGAGGCTTCCACAGCTTCCCTCAAGAAGCCAGTGAAGTGCTTGCCAACAATTGCTCAAATGACTTGACATTGATAAGAATATTGCTATTTGTCAATGCCACACTAATCTCTAGTAATCTCTTTAACTTTTATAAAGGTGATACCTAGATCAACTTGCGCCTACCTCGCTATTCTACTAGGTACCTGCTACCTTATAGGGTAACCTTGTCACCAAGACTTAGGCAGAGAAGGAGAAATCACCTCGCATTTTTGGGCCTCTGGTTGGATGTAAACCTTGGACTTATATGACTTTCATTCCACTTTATTCACCACTAGACCACACCCCTGGATGCATTGGCAAGCTCCTGATCCATATCACTTTCTGGTCTTAAAAGAGGTTCACATCTCTCTCAAATTTGAAACTAATGTGCAGGATGCTACCTCTTAATGAGTAGCACAAGGCAGATGGTTTTTTTGAGCCTGTCCCCTACCTTAAAAAACAGACTTGGTTACCTAGTAGGAATCGAGCTTGTGACGGGAACTACGACACATCTCACTTATGCTACCTATGGCGTTAAACCAAGGCCCTAGGGCCAAGTTACGCAGCTGCTGTAGCTAGTATCTAGCTGCAGCTATCCTTTCATTGGCCTCCAGTAACCCCTCCTGATGCAGATCATCTTTTTGGTCTTATAGGCGATTCACGGCTCTCTCAATTTTGGAGACTGATATGCAGGAGGCTACCTTCCAATGAGTAGGCATAAGTTAGGCAGCCGCTGTAGCTAGTATGTTATTCAAACTACCCTTTCAAGGTAATAGATATTTGAAATTCTATGAAGGTTGTTGGATGATAAAAGGGTTCTCTCACATGCTTATTAGAATTGAAACCATGATGCCTCATAGTCCTTCAGGGGGGAAAATTTGCAGGCCTTCCTGAAAGCTGTGTATTAGGATTCTGATAAGGCTTGCCTCTAGAAAGGGAAGTTGAATAAGAACAGGAGAAATGAGGGATGAACGGCATTGAAATTGAGTACGGTAGTAACGTGATTTCAAAAAGATCGATCCTTCATATGAAAATGCTACCAATTTCAGAAAGGTTACAGCCTTTTAGATTCAACTATATAAGTTATCATGCATATTGTAGTACAGTTCGAAAAATTATGTATCTTGCAGATGATGTGAAGTAGCACCCTCTTGGTGCTACAACAATAAACTACTTTACTTCTTCTCCAAAAAAATAAAAAGATCATACAACATAGGTTTCCCTGCCACACAATGGTGTACTCATACATTCAATATCTTCAGTACCAACTTATCTGTTGCATTTTCCGATACCCCATTGTTCAAAAACAGAAAGTGTTAAAACACGATAGCTTACCATCTCGGTTCCAGATTCTAGCTTGACCATCATAAGAACCCGTTGCTAGTAGGTTTCCCTCGCCCTACACAGGGAAGAAGTCATAAGTACAAGATTTAATAAGAATGTACATGAGCACTGGCAATTCATAAGACATGCAGAAAAGAAAAAAGAGAAGCCAACAATAATCTCCAAAATACTTACGTTCCACTCGAGTGTTGTGACATCCTTGCTTTTCTCGTTTGTTCGACCTTTAAAATGCTTCAATACCATGACATCTACAGGCCCATTTTGCATACGAGAATGACAAGGACCATCTCCAATTGTCCAAATTCTAGCAGTAGAATCTCCAGATCTGAGTTGAGGATTTCATATAATTAGCAATAAGAAAAGGTAATCCTAAAAGTAAATGTATCACCGGTCTGGCCCTATAGATGTAAGCCTACCCTGTTCAAGATTTTGGTTTTTAGCATGTCACACTGTTCAAGATTTTGGTTTTTAGTATGTCACACTGTTCGAGATTTTGGTTTTCAGACTATTCTAGATTTAGGTGTAATACAATCTCATTTTTAAATGAATTATTTGCTTAAATGTTGATATTATTAACTGCAAACATTCAAGTCAATGCTGGCATTCCAGTGACAAATTCAATGTACAACTTAAAGCAACTCCTCCATGTAAAAAAGCACATGCAGTCAAGCAGGATTTCTTAGAAGACAAATGGTTGTCTCTGCAAATATCTTCAACCATCTTGGTATGGCACATTCCTCGTATCTCCATTCAAGATAGCAATGATATATTTATTTCCTTATTCAACAGAAAGCCCTGCTGATCAGATAGTATCTCCTTATCCTACTAAGCTCATAGACGGTGATTACTTCTGGGGCATACATTTCTCACTTGGACGAAATCCTTTTAAGTTGTTTCTATGGTATGCCTTACCCCTAAGGTGTGGTGTTTTGCTGTTTAGACTATAAACAAGGTTACCTACTCCCCCCAAGAAGACTACATAACAATAAAGTCTAAAGCAGTCAAGGAGGGCAATAAGTTTCACCTATCTTGGAAAAGAATAATGACCATTTCCAAAGTGCTAAAGCTCAACGAATAATACGAGGTAGGGGTATAGAAATGAAATATCACTGGACTCCTATAGAAGAGCAGCATCAAAAGAGATATTAATGTGCTAACCCAGATGCAAGAAGTGAACCGTCTGGACTCCAGGCACATGCAAAAACCTGTGATAAGTTTGAGAACAACACAATATTGTCATGCTAATACCAACAATATTTACCAAATTAAAAATTGAGAATAATACTAATTTGAGAAGCTGTAGATTATATTTAATCATACCTCGGATGTATGGCCTTCCAAAACCATTACATCAGAACTCGGGATTTCACATGGCAGCGAGGTAGAGCTTGTGCAAACCTCCATTGGCTCTGGATCTGTTTTGCAGCTCCAGAAAGTCAAGTGATTAAGAATTTTATGCTTTATAATGTGATTAACAAAATTCAAACCAAATGTATCAGATGCATGCATATTCCAGGATGGCTTGCAGCTGTAAAGTTCATAAAGATTAGGATATTGAGATTTAATACCTGCAGTCTTTCCATTCTCCTCATGTCTGACAACATCTTTATCTCCATTGGCTTTCGCGTCCATGAGATCCTCACGTGGTTTTTCTTTGTCCTTATTTTTCTCTCTCTCCTTATCCTTCTCAATCTTCTCTCTCTCCTGATCTCGATCTTGCTCTTTTTCCTTCAATTGTTTTTCCTTCTCCCTTTCTCTAGCAGGTTCTCGTCCATGCTCCCTCTCATGGACGTTGTTATCCTTGTCTTTTCCCCTAGGTTTATCTTGCCGAAGCTTTTCCTTTTTTTCTTTTATTATTTTTTGCAGCTCATATACATCCTTCGTGATAAGATCAATGGGTTGTAAGAACTGGAAGTCTTCATCCATATCTGTGTCATCCTGCATGCCTTATTTATTATCAGTCAGTTTGAAGTTCTCAAAAGAGCTTGGACTCGGGACTCAAATGACAAGCATCACGAATTTTGCACTTACATTGCTCAAATTTGCTTCCAATTCAAGATACTGAATTCCCTTTTGTAGAAAGGTAACCAGAGCACCAGGGGGAACTAAATTTCCATCTATTGTGCTCTTATTAATCCCCGCCTCATATCCTAAAGCAAATGCTGAATGCGTAAACCCTGTAAAGCAGTCAGAAACAAGGAGATTCAAGATTGATAGCAAAAACAATAAGGAGTGGTGACTAAGAATATGAAAACAGAAAAATTTAAGAGAATTTTAACTGAGAATGGATAAATAGACAGAACCAAATAAGAGTGATCACCTAATAGACCTAAAACATAAAAGGGTTCATTTAACCAAATATGTCCATCACAGCAACAATTTTACAAGGAATGTATATTTGATTAATTTAATAAAATCACAAAAAAATTGAATGACAATCAAACTCATGGAATTATTGTCCCTAAAGGAGAAGGAAGAGGAGACCCAAGAAAAAGGATCAACTGACACAACACTATTTCATTAGCAACTACTTTGCTTCTACACCCAAGGAGGGCCGTTCAAAATCGAACCGTAACTGTTAATCGGACCGATGGCTTATTCGCTTATTGGTATCAGGTTATCGGGGTAACAGTTGGTGAAAGGATTGAGATTTTATAATTAACGGCTTAACGATTTGGGAGCGGTTTACTCAATTTTCTTATTGGATAAACCATTAACCCGTTAAGAATTTTTATATTTACATATACATATCTTTAATTATGCCCATTAACTATATGTGGAACTACCACCTCTGAAGACTTCAAAAGGATTTTATATATAAACACACCACCTAGATGTACATGCTTGATTGTATATAAGTTTTCGATCAGTTTGACCGGTTTTCAATCTTTCCTTTTTTTTTGACATAAAAAAGTTAGCTATGCAACCAAAAGAAATCGGGGTAACAGTTGGTGAAAGGATTGAGATTTTATAATTAACGGCTTAACGATTTGGGAGCGGTTTATCTCAATTTTCTTATTGGATAAACCGTTAACCCGTTAAGAATTTTTATATTTACATATACATATCTTTAATTATGCCCATTAACTATATGTGGAACTACCACCTCTGAAGACTTCAAAAGGATTTATATATAAACACACCACCTAGATGTACATGCTTGATTGTATATAAGTTTTCGATAAGTTTGACCGGTTTTCAATCTTTCCTTTTTTTTTTTGACATAAAAAAGTTAGCTATGCAACCAAAAGAAATACTTATAAAGTTATAAAAAAAAAAAAATATACTTATAATAAGTGCATTAATGCAGTACAAACTACAAAGTGTTTGACAGACTATCATATAGCAACAACAGATGGTAACAAGCTTGGTAAACTAAAGTGCAGTACATACTAACAAGGTAGTCGAGACACTTTATCAGGCTTGGCCGTTTGGTATTCACAAGACTAGAATTGTTCAAAAAATTTTTATTTGGTTTAGCCAATAAACCACCCGATAATCGTTAATCTGATACCAATCTGCCAGTTGTCTTATTGGATGGCTAGCGGATTACTACACTTATAATCCAATAACGGATAAGCCGAACCGATAAGCGTAATTATCCGCCTGATAAGCACCCTTACAAGGGTGCGACTTAGTGGTCAATGAAATGCGTTAAGTAGCATGAAGTCTCAAGTTCAAATCCTACCGGAGGCAAAACTACTTGATGATTTTCTCCCATCTGTCCATGCCTCAATGGATAGAATTATATGATACATGTACTAGTGGGAGGTAGCAGGTACCCCATGGAATTAGTCGAGGTGCTCGCGGGACCGAACACCACGATTATCCCAAAAAAACTACTTTGCTTCTAAATGAATAACATAACATGCACATGAACATGAAGTACTCTATTGAGCCTAGAAAATTTACATCGAACAGAAACTATTCTCAAAGGAACATGTCCAAATCAAACGAGAAAGATATAATCTCAATTAGCCATCCAATTTTTAGCTTGTTAAAATAACCACCCTCAACTAATTGATATTATGTAGAAAACAATATGTGGTTTGGCCATAATTCACATTGGATGAAGCAGAATTTTTGTGCTAGGTTAGAAATATCCTTTTCAAACACATTCGCGGTGAAACCTCCAATCTACCGAAACATTTATTAATAAAGGTGTGCAAAACAATCATAAATTGAAAGCTAACATCAAACTCGTTAGTTAACAACAAGTTTGCCTTTCTCAGGGAATAAGATCCATCACATATCAAATCACTTGAAAGTGCCACAAAAAAGGAACAACCTGATGCACAAATCATGCCGCATTCACAGAGGTTTCGGGGAAGGGCTGTAAATAACCTACCCTAATGCAAGCTTTTGAAAGTGCCACAAAATTACAAATTGTTCTATCCTGCATTTGCTTGAAGCCATATAAACATCGTCTCATTGTTCTATCTCTTCCTTTGATAACAAAAAGAAGAAACTGAGCATGCAAGCTTCCTTGAAAACTAACAGACCCTTTTGGTGAGCAAAGGAAGTCATGTTCATCCTTTTGATCGAAAATGACTTCCTTGTGGAAAATAGGGAAAATAGCAATTTTCGTCCTTGTGATATGACTAATTTCTAGTTTCGGTCCATGTGATATTCAACTAAGCAATTTTAACCTTCAATCAAATGAAGTGGGTGATTCTAGCCCAATCACTAATGAAATTTGATTGAGAAAAACAACATGTTAATACAACAAGGGGCAATTTAGGTATAATAGTTAAAATATTTTTAAATAACCTAATTCTGTTTGAAAAGGTTAAATATCTTCCCATGACATCTTCCCCAAAGGTGGAACTGAACGGAGCTACTCAATCGTCGGAATCACGAATACACATTGCCACCTCGTCTGGCCTTACAAACTACACCTTCATTATTTCTACTTTCGTTCTCCTTAGCCAACAACTAAATTGCCATGCACCCTCCATTTGTAAGAAACAAGTTCAGATGTGCAAATATACAACATCCGTCCGATAAGTCAGTGAAATAATAAAGTTTTAACAACAAAATCAGCTTGATCGGAGCCTGTATAGAAAGATTGAAATTGAAAAAACTGCAAGAATCCTCGCTCGAACTGAGCAAAAATTGAGAAGAGAACTCGAAATTTGACAAAATCGAAGGGAAAAAACACTCTAATAAGAAATTAGCCATGAGTTTCCTCTTGAGGTTTCATCAAATTTAGTTAAGCGTTGCATATTGATTCAAGCAAAAAGAGCATTTAAAGACTAAAAATTTAGAAAAGAAACGTATGGTTCATAGGTAAATGTACAGGTTCATGGTGTTATCACGTGAATTTGCAATGACTAATGATCTAGACTCGATATTCATGTAGCTTGCCACGTGAGTCTGTAATAATGAACCTGAATATTATTTTTGTACAACTAAGAATGCGTTATGTACAATCAAATTGAAAACAGTAACCTCTAAGCCAAAGAGTAATATGCATAATATTCAAATCACCCTTCCTAGTAGTAGATTTTCTGTTAAAGACCTTTCGCTTCCATTAGTGAGGGACTAAAATCCCTCACTTTCTTTAACTGAAGGTTAAATGCACTAAGTCAAATATTATAGGGATCAAAACTGGAATAACACAATAATACAGGGATAAATAATGTTATTATGACTTTCGTCATGCCAAGTAGGGTAGAAGGTTAGTAGATAAACGGGAGTGTCTCCTTTCCATGTTGGTAGCATTAGTATTATAGCCCGTTTGGCCAAGCTGCAAAAATCAACTTATTTTGAGAAGTACTTTTTCTCAAAAGTGCTTTTCTCAAAAGTACTTTTGGTGAGAAGCCGTTTGTGTTTGGCTAATTAATTTTAAAAGCACTTCTGAGTAGCAATTAGTGTTTGGCCAAACTTTAAAAAACTGCTTTTAAGTGTATTTTTCTCAAAAGCGCTTCTTAAAAAAGTGTTTTTGGAGAGAAACTACTTTTTTCTACTTCTTCAAAACTGCTTCTACTTCTCCTCAAAAACACTTTTTTTCCTTTCAAAAGCTTGACCAAACACCTTAATTTTAGAAAAAAGCCCTTTTTTTTTGGATGACCGAGAAATCCGTCTGGGGCCGATACTTTGGACCAGCCCCAGCCTTCAAAACTCGATGGATAATGGGTCCGCCCCTCTACCCTTACAACAACAACAATAACAACGACCCAGTATAATCCCACAAGTGGGGTCTGGGGAGGGTAATATGTACGCAGACCTTACCCCTACCCCGAAGGGTAGGGAGGCTGTTTCCAGGAGACCCTCGGCTCAAAAAACAATAGGAGATGATATATTAGTACCATAAAAATGCGTAATAAAAATAACAACAATATATAAGAGATATGAAATATGAAATATAGGATACTAAATACGAAAATACGAAAATACGAAATAGATGGCTGGTATAGTACAACTAGAAGGTAAAGCCCTGCCTCAATAGACGACCAATGACATTCCTAGTCTAACTCCTAACTGGATAGTCTCCCTCTATTGTGTTGTAGAAATATTCACACTCTCCCCTAACCTACAACCCTAATGCTCGACCTCCATAAATCTCTATCAAGGGCCATGTCCTCAGTAATCCTAAGTCGTGTCATGTCATGTCTGATCACCTCTCCCCAATACTTCTTAGGTCTCCCTCTACCTCTCCGCATGCCCACTACAGCCAGTCGCTCACACCTCCTCACCGGTGCATCAGTGCTCCTCCTCTGAATGTGCCCGAACCATCTGAGTCTCACTTCCCTCTACCCTTCTCCACTTAAATACTAGGCTTTGCTTTGCATGGTGTGGGGGCTTGAACCCATTACCTAAGACACAAATCCACCACCCTTTGCCACTTGAACTAGGCCCTGGGGGCTAGAAAAAAAGCACTTTTGACCCAAAAAAAGTGCTTCCGCCTCAAAAGAAGCTTGGCCAAACAGGCTATTAATCTCTCATTTTCATACCTTCTTATCCATACGTTTCTTTTACTATATGTTGATCCTTTCGCTTCGATTATTCTATGACTCTGTCACCTTATCACCTTATCTGATTGCTGATACTACTTGTTGTGTTTGCTTCCTTTACTCTTACATTGAGTCGAGGGTCTACCGGAAATAGCATCTCTACCCTCACAAGGTAGGGGTAAGGTCTTCATACACTCTACTCCCCATACCCCACTTTGTGAGATAATACAGGTTTTTTTGTTGTTGTTGTTGTTGACTTCCAAAAACACACATAGGGATAGATCTTTCCTTATAGCTTCTCAATAGTTATAATTAGAAAAATATAAATTACTCAAGTCCGATTCACTCCTCAAATTGTTCAAATTGCATTCCATAAGCAACACAAGCCAAACAAGTTGGCAAGGAGGGTAATGTAAACAAGTGTTCAAGAACAAAACCAGGCAAAACATAACCTAACCTATAAACCTAGTTGAACGTGAAGTTCAAAATCCAAAAAATATAATTCATGAGGAAACAATGGTGGGTCAACAAAATTAGTGACATAAAGTCAAATTCTTTTTTTTTTTGTTTATAGTACTTATACAAGAAAACAGTTCACAACAAAAAATTGATAGTAATATTAAATGGGTAATTCAAGTTAATACAATATTAATCATGTGTTTGAAATATATATTACTTTGGATCTTGTGGTAAAAAATATTCATTAACATAAAAAATTAAGTAATTCAATTCAAAGTTCTAATAAAGATTTTGTACTTTTTTGCCTCCGAATTTCAATATTGTCTAAGTCAAAATAACATAAGAAAATATATCTTTTGGGGCCCCAAAATATCGGGGCCTAAAGCAAAGGCTTCACTAGGAGCCAACCTTTTGAGGTAGCAATTATTAATTGAACCCTAAGAAGGACATACCTGATTCTTGAAGGTACCGGAAAACGAGGTAGTTCAGCTCCGATGAGGTAATAGAGATCATCCTTGCGACTCGACGCCGGCGAAAACAAACACCATGTGCTTTGTCTCCCGAGAGTAGTGAAAACGAAAAAGAGGCTCTGTGTGTGTGTGAGAGAGAGAGACGTTATTATAATTAGATGTGTTTTTCTGCACCAAAGGTCATCGTCATCGTTTAGAATTAGGAATCAACTGTAAATACCGAAATGACTATAATACCCTCGGTGTGCAGGCCTTTTTTGGGTTATTAAATTTGGGCCGCCCAGCCCATTAATATGGTTTAGTTTTTTTTTTTTAATTCCTATACAGTTTTCCAAACTTTATTAACAAAAATGTTCACGTTTAGTTATTTACCCGACCTAAAAAACTCTTACCTACAAAATATATACATTTGTTTAAACTAGAATCCTTTCTGTGGTAATCTTCCTTATTTAGACGCGGGAATCTGGGATCGCGTATTTTTCTTCAGAGATTTTACCAACGCAATCATCGCACCTTAATCAAGCCATTGTATTTGTAGATTCTTACTATCACGACGATTCCTTTGATAATCAAGTTCTATTCTTTGATTTTCTTTGGGTTTTCATAAACGAAGATTTTGAAAAAAAATTGCAAACAATTAGCTACAATTGTAGTGAATTTTGCGACATAATGTCAAAATTAGCGATTATGCTCCAGCTAAATGATCACTGGGATAGCGTTGGGAGATGCAAAGACTTTGATGTTGATGGAATTGTAGTCAGTGAAGATTCAAATTATAGTCAATTGAATTTCGCAATTGTAGAGCATCTAATAATCGATACCTCCGCAAAAATCATCGAAATCAAATATACTGTCAACGAACGTTGTCCACCAATGAAAATTCGGAACGATATAGGAATTCGAATATATATGGAGACAAAAAAGGAAAACAAAAGCTTAGGAATGTATTTGTTGTGTATAACAATGCGTGATTTCGATTTGGAATACAGTATCTCAAATTCGAGCACAATTGCAGGTTTGCTCTATTTTTTCAGTGCTGATGTTGTGTCGATTTCACGTGTTCTACAATTTACTACAACTTATCTACAATAATACTACACAACAAATGTAGTTCAACTGTTATGTCTCTTCAAGTATTCTGTCAAAAATACTGAACACATTAATATACACAGGTCTGAATTGTAGATTCTTTTAATTGAGTGCAGGTTCATCTGATTATCGTATGTCTTCGTGGTACAATTGTCAAAGAATTGTAACACTATTGGATAAGTATTAGGAACAGTGGAGTTGATTGATATGCCAACATCTCCGGCAATTGTGGAATATGAAAGTATCATAATAACAGAACATACACCAAATGTTATTGAAGTAGGCCAAGTTTACCAAGATAAACAAATAATTGTCAGTGCAATGAAGCATTATTCTGTTATGAATAAGTTTCAATTTAGGGTGAACAAGTCTAGTGCAAGAAGGTAGGAACATTTCATTTGTCAAATTCATATTTTTGTATAATTTGTAATTTATTTGTATATAAATTTTATATAAATTATTTAATATAAGATTTTTATGCTTAAACAACCTCGTATTTTGTAGATACATTTTTCATAACATTTTTTAATTATTTTTATGTTTTAGCTACTGCCTCGTATGTGTTGGGTCAATTGTATGTGGAACTTCAAGTCCACCAGCATAAACGAATCAGCATTGTTCAAGGTTAGAAAATTCAACAGCTTGCACACATGCTCTTTGATGGACAACATATACATACAATACAAAGCTACTGCCATGGTTGTGACCAGCATGGTGATGCCAAAATATGCGGATCCTAAGACAATACACACACCAAAAGACATACAAACTGATATATTATCGGATCATGGTGTGATCTTAACATACATGCAAGCTTAGAGAGAAAAGAAAAAGGCTTTGGAATTTTTGAGAGGTCACCCTGCTGATTCCTACAGTCACTTGCCGAGTTATTTATATATTCTGGAGAAGACTTATTCGGGATCGGTAGTAAAATTGCAGAAGAGTGAAGATGACTGTTTCTTGTACGCATTTGTTGCACTTAGTACGTCCATCAAGGGTTGAAAGTAGTGTAGGCCAGTTGTAGTAGTTGATGGCACCTTCTTGAAGTTGGCATATAGAGAAATCATGCTAACAACTAGCACAATGGATGCAACAAGTATTGTAGATTAATTGTAGAAATATTGCTATAAAGTTGTTTATCAGTCCGTATTTTTTACACTCTAAAGTTTTATTACAGAAATTGAATTTCTTTTTGCTACATGTGTGATAGATAGCATATTACTACTGGCATACGTTGTTGTTGATTCAAAAAATGACGCATCATGGAGGTAATTTTTTGAGCAATTCAAACATGCATATGGTGAAAAACCAAATATATATGTTGTTTCAGACCAAAATAAGAGTATCTTGAAGGCAACATCTACTGTTTATACCAGCATGCCACATTATGCTTGCATGTGGCATATTTGGATAAATGTAAGGTCAAGGTTCAAGAAGGGTCATTTAAAGTTAAGCGAATTATACTTTGCCATGGCACGATCATACTCACTTGATAAATTTAATGAAAGAATGTCAAAGATTAAAGAGATCGACACGCATGTTAAAGCATACCTATACGATATTGGCTATCATAGATGGTCTCGAGTACATGATACGGTCAACAGAACGTGGACGATGAAATGAAACATTGCAGAATCATTGAATATGGTAACAAAAGACGCAAGAGAGCTGCCCGTAGTAGAACAATTAGAGAACATGAGGACTCTTCTTGAATGTTGGACTAATGAAAAGTTATTGAATTCAAAGGGTACGTTCACATACCTTGGGAAAAAATATAACAAAGAGTTGCAGGACAACAGGACATTACGCAAAAGATGAGAGTAAGCTATAGTAGTAACATCAGATCATAGATTCCATCAAACTAAATATCACGTGCTTTGGCGGCTTTGAGGCACAGGAACGAGTCGTATGAAAACTATTGTTCTCTTTATTATACGAGGGAGAGTCTTTTGAAGACGTATGAAATACCAGTAGACTCGCTGCCTGATGAAAGCAAATGGAATGTGCCAAAACATATAGCTGAAGAAGTTGTAATACCACCTACTGGGAAAAGACAACTAATGAGACTACAAAAACAAAGATACAAACCATATGATGAAGTGAATGCAAAGAAGTACAAGGTGTCATGCGGAAACTGCATCGTAGAAGGGAATAACAAATGATCTTGTATGAATGCTCCCAAAAGGAAATAAAAACTGGTAACTGACAAGATTTTTTTTTCCTGAGTATTGTTGATGATAATCTGTCCTTTAAGACATAGGAAGTTGTAATTGTATTGCCAATTTGAATAAAGACTTTCTCCTATAATGAAATATTTGATAAACAGATTTCAACTCTTAATGCAATTGGTTTGTAGTTGTTATGTTCAAATACTGAGTTTATTTATTACTTTTCACTAACAGCACTGCTTTAAATTGAATGGATTATATTTTTTTTGTATAACAGTTGTAGACATAATTGTAGTTAAACTGTAAAAAAATTATATAGGTACAATATCGAGATCAAGTACTAACAACTTTCAACTAAAAAAAGCCACAAATATTTTCTATTCTAAGTAGTAGAATATCTAGACAAAATAACAAAACAAAAAGATAAAACAATTGTATCACAATCTGCCACAAATAAATTGCAGCTGACTTGTTCTTAGTTAACATTTTATCTACAACTTTACATCAACTTAGCTACAACTAAACACTTTAACTATAATTTTTCTACTGAGAAGGGCAACTAATTCTTCCTTTTCCGGACTTGTGTTCTCTCATTCACAGCTGGTGCACATTTTATTCTTGCTAATCTTTCGGTTACCTCACTTTAACAAATTGCACCAAGCTCTTGCTTTTTCTTAGCATAATCCTAAATAGCGTTCCATAGCGTCTACGGTGCTGATCAATATCATAAAGGTCTTCGTTTGAAATCGATAGCTCTCCAAAGCTGACATTGTCACGACCCAAAATCCACTAAGGGTCGTGATGGCGCCGGACACCACTGTCAGGCAAGCCAACACCAAGAAATTAATTAGATTCTCATTTTAGTATTTATTGAAATCATTTCTTTTATATATTAAACAATAAATAATGAAATTCACTGAAATAAAAATAATGTCTTTAACAAACTTAATAATGAATAATCCCATAATCATCCCAGAATCCGGTGTCACAAGTGCATGAGCTATTTCTAGGAAACCATATAATACAATAACCGTTCGGAATACAAATTGGACAGTAGATAAAATACAATATAGTACCCAGAAGAAGACTCTGCTGGTTGCGGGTCATCTCGAGGAGTGCAGCTCACCTAAGTTTCTGTATCAACCATGTCGTTGCGCCGAACTAGGCCACTAGATATACATAAACATGTGCAACAAAAATACACAACAAGTGTAGTATGAGTACAAAAACAACGTGTACCCAGTAAGTATCCCATCTAATCTCGAAGAAATAGAGACGAGAGGTCGACTTCGACACTTACTAGTGGTCCAATAATAATATACCAATAATATAGTAAATCGAGGATTTTCATAAAAAAATGTTGTAACTCAATAGCATGAGGCAAGTAAACAATTCTTTCGTTTATAGGAAATTTCCAAATTCATTTTCATCATTTATACATTTATCTCAGGCCAGGGAGAACAAATATCAATATCTATGAATCTCAAGGCAAGCAATACAAGCATGCACAAATCATGCCGAGGTCGTACGACTCGATCCAACAAATATTTAAACTATGCACTGCAGAGGGTCGAATGGCGCGAACCATAGATGTATCTATTACCTCGCTCGCGAATCATACATGCGACACAGTCAAATATAAATAAACAATCACCCCGCTCGTGAATCATACATGCGATGCAGGTCACATAGAAACACACATTCAAACAGTCAATCAAGACCTCATCAGGGAAACAATTATTCAAGGAGGTATCAATTTCTCTTTTACAATTCGAGAAAATGAAGTTTAACTCTTTTAGAAAATCATTTACCACTTCGATACAATTAAAGCAATTCAAACTGTCAATAAGGTTACAATTATTTCAAGTAAAGCATGCTTTTGGGTCCTGGACTACCCGGACTTA